ATATTTCCAGATAAAAAATACACATACATACATAGAATTTTTAGAAACTATTAACATAAAAAAAGATCCCAATAATAAAAATATTTTAGAATTTTATATTTACAGTTACAGCCTGTTTGAGGAAAAATCTAGAACTGCTTTCAGCAAATGCTGCCCATATCGCTTATCGTCGATGCTGTTTAACTTGTACCTATTCCCGATGTACCGACTCCCCAGCCTGCCCCATCATAATCCTAACCTGATTGAAGGTTATCCAATGATTCAATTAGATGGTTAGTTTAAAAGTGCACTGTGCACTTTTAAACTAATAGAGACATTCGTGTGTCTAAAAACAGATCTTAATAAATAAATATCCAATTTTAAACTTTCAATGTTTTTAACTTTGGAGGAAAAGCCGTTCATAATATTCATTGCTGATATAAAAGGTTGGACATTTATATTTTATCAATATTTCTCAAAACTTCCAAAGAATTAAGTTAATTTGCATTTCCTTCAAAAACCTCTCCTTGATAGTTTTGAGGCACAACGTTTAAATTCTTTGGCCATTTCAGTGAATTATCTCTAACAAGGAGAGGAACCAATCCCTTCCAAAAAAAGGTGCTTCACAAAACCTTGAAGAACATGCAGTACTGGCAAAAGCATTGTATTTTTATTTGATATGCCTATTTTGTCTTGAATTAAGGCTACATGAAGTTGTTCTTTGTATTTAGCGAATCTTGTTGAAATGCAGATTATTCAGTAGCCAATTGCATTAGCAAAACTTGTAAAATCGAAGAGATTAAAAAACTTCATTCACAGTGTTTGACATATATTTATTCAACAACATTTCTTGACAACCAAAAACAACAATGGTTACAAATCAAAGCTTCCTACAGAAATACATACAAATATAGTTTATTAATAGATACATTGATTCAATTCTTAATATATTTCAACACCCCCACTTATTAAAAATTGAAATTATTACAGATATTAAAATTAAAATAAGCGGTTCTAAAAACATATCAGAATAACAATAAATTATTAAACTAAGCCTAATTGCGATACAAATTTATTGTGTTTGATAATTGGCAAACTCTTTGTTAAAATATCTGCAGTCATATCAGAAGATGCCAAATAATGTAATGTAATAATATTATTGGCTACTGTTTCCCGAACAAAATGATATCTAACATCTATGTGTTTAGAGCGAGAATGAAGTATTGGATTTGCTGCCAATTTCTGAGCTGATTGATTGTCAACAAACAAAACCAAAGAATCCAACTCTTCATTAAGCTCCTCATATAGATTTTTTATATAAATGGCTTCTTTTGCAGCCTCGCTCATTGCCATATATTCAGCCTCGGTACTGCTGAGAGCTGTACTTTTTTGCTTAAAACTTTTCCAGGAAATGGCTCCTCCTGCTAACTTAAACACAAATCCAGTATAGGACTTTCTGTCCAATTTATTAGACCTGATATCTGGCATTTTGTTATACCAAAGCTCATATGGCGTTTTATACTCTAGACCTCTAGCAATACACCTATTTCTTAAATATATTGCTGTATTAACTGCCTCAGCCCAAAATGTTTTTGACAGGTCAGCTTCAAACATTAAACATCTGGCTTTTTCAATAATAGTTCTATTCATACGTTCGCTCATTCCATTTTGTTGGGGTGTATGAGGATTTGTCTTTTGATGTACAATCCCTTCTTTCTTAAGATACTTTTCAAAATCACTTCCACAAAATTCTCCACCATTATCTGAACGTAAACATTTAAATTTTAACCCAGTTTGAGTTTCAACAAGCTGTTTAAATTCTTTAAAATAACCCAAAGCTTCATCTTTTGTTCTCAAAAAATAAACATGAGCATACCTGCTAAAATCATCCTCAAAGAGCAGAAAATACCTTGAACCTCCCAAAGAAACTTCTTCCATGGGTCCACACAGGTCAGTATGCAACACCTCCAATGGTAACTTGGCTCTTTTACCTTCATGTCTAAAAGGTAACCTTGATTGCTTTCCTTCGCAACAAGTTGCACACAATTTATTTGCACAAACATTGCCATTCATACTGCTTAAACCTTCTACTGAATTGTGATTTTTCATAGCTGTCAGATCTTGAAAATTCAAATGTGCCAATCTACGATGCCATACTTCTTTTGAAACTGTCAGGTTCAAAACTGCATTATCTGATTTCATAACATCACATATTTTGCTGCCTTGTAATAAACATCTATTTAACTTATAAACATTTTCATTAAACTGAGCAATGGCAATAACATTTCCATCACTGTTAGTGACCTTGCAATTTTTTCGACTAAAATTAACTTTGTTTCCATTGTTAATGATCTGTCCAATGGATAACAAATTAGTTGTCACTCCTGGAACATATAAGAAATTTTTAATTTCTATATCATGCTTTTGTCCATCTACAATGGTTATAAGTCGTATGTTTCCTGTACCCAATACTTGTAGTTTGGTTTGATTAGCTATAGTTATCTCCCTTGGTTCAACGACTTCTTGAAAATCACTTATCCAGTCTTTTTTACATGTAACATGATGACTGGCCCCTGAATCCATGTACCAATCGCTGCTGCTGAACTCTCCGCTCATAAAGACTGCACTAAGAGCACTGACACCTTTTCTTTTATCATTTGAGCTATCACTGCTGCCTTTGGGGCACTTATTCATGTAATGGCCAAAATTTTTACATCGATAACACTTGACATTCTGCAATTTTGAGCTCTCTTTTCTCTGCTGATAATTTTTTCTTCCATAACAATTATTAGGCTTTCCAACAACAAAAGCCGAACCTGTTGACTTATGAGAACGTTCTTGAGACATATCTAGCAACTTAGTTTTAATATTCTCCGTTGTGATATCAATTCCACTATGCTCTATTGCCATAATCATTGGAGAAAACTTATCTGGTAATCCTGCTAAGAGTAGTGAGCCTACCCATTTATCATCAATGGAAAATCCCGTTTTCTTTAATTTTTGTGCAGTTTCAACCACTTGTGTCACATAGGACTCCACATTCTCACAATTTTCTAATCGTAAAGATATTAAGGCTCGCAATAAATAAATCTTACGCGTAAAGCCTGTATCTGCATACATAGTTTTTAACGTCTCCCACAAAGACTTTGCATCCTTAGAATCACGAACATGAACGAACAATGAAGGATCAATTGTAAGCACCAACTTTGCTCGTGCCTTGTTTTGTTGAGGGATGTCGGTTTCTAAACCACATAAACATTTTTCTAAACCTTCCAGAATTAAAAAATTCTCCACGGCAAAACTCCATTCATCATAATTATCTCGCCCAGTCAATTTAGGCACACCAGACATAAAATTTATGGACACCATTTTACCGGTCATACACTTTTAGAGACAATTTTTTTTTACTGATTACGAAGTTCACTACACAAACCACGAGTGTTAAAGGCTCTGGGCCCATAACCTGTTGAAATGCAGATTATTCAGTAGCCAATTGCGTTAGCAAAACTTGTAAAATCGAAGAGATTAAAAAACTTCATTCACAGTGTTTGACATATATTTATTCAACAACATTTCTTGACAACCAAAAACAACAATGGTTACAAATCAAAGCTTCCTACAGAAATACATACAAATATAGTTTATTAATAGATACATTGATTCAATTCTTAATATATTTCAACAAATCTTCTATTATAAAAAAGTACTCTTTTTCCATTATATAAGTTACATTGCTGGTGACGAATGCATTTTTAACTGTTTGAAGGCATTTATTGCAATCTTACTTACTCGTCTTTTTTAACTTTTACCTTCCTTTCTTTTGATGTCCACAGTATGTTGCTTTTATACAAATTAAAAAAATACAATCTGTTGTTGTTGTATATCAAATTTCTTTAACAACATAATTTTTGGAAAAATTTGTCATTTTTTGCAAAGCTGTCAGGTTCTGTCCGGTTTTATTAGGATTTCTTCTTTGCAACAATGCGAACTTGTCAAACATATTGAGGTGGGATATTTATTTTGAGTCATTTTCCTTATATTTTCCGTCTAGAAACGCAAAGTTTTTTTTTATTGTCCTCGTGACCACATTTATACATAAAATTTGTTAAATTAATTTTTTACGATGCAAAGTACTTTAAAAATAACCAAGAACCTGGAAACTAAAAACTAAAAACATAGCTGTACAGCTTTACTGTTAAAAAGATTGCGACAACACGCTGACAGCAATAAAAGAAAAAAATTATTTAATTACCAGTGTCCAACTTAACTGTTTTTTTTACATTTTTTTTTCAGTCAGTAAGCACTGATGCTTGCACAGCTTGTTAAAATAAATTATATTTATTAAAATAGTCTTAAAACCCAGGGGGCCTGTCGCTTATATGACGCGTATTGTTTCACTGCAAGCCGCGTCACCGATATGTAGGTGACGTTCTATGTATTTTGAATGTTTCGTATTCAAGGTGGCTCCCTGAAAACCATTTTGCTACTTTTGGTTTTAGGAAATGTATTGAAATACTCTTTTTATCGTCAATTTAGTAAAAAACAACATTAAATTTGGCTTCTGAGAAGGTATTCCAATATGACCGTGGCACGCAATGTATTAAACGTTGGATATTTCTAAACAAACAAATTAAATTGGTGGTATTTAAAAAAAAACTGAATGAATTTAAAAGAAAAATTTAAATTTGATACTATTTGTCATTCGTGAGCTATACAAATTAATTTTGTCAGCTTCTACAAATTTATTTGATAGAGAATAAGCACAAAATTGCAATTTATGAATTTTACTAACATTTTACTTAAAAAAAAATGTCTTAAGAAGCGGCTGCGATTTGAAGAGAGGGTGTTTTGTGTGGGAGGGACCCCACCAAATAATATCTCAAAATCAGTTTTTTAAGGACATACTGAAAAACCTATACCCTATTCAAGGACACGATTATAAAATAATTTTTATTTCCACTTTCTTAGTAAATGACATTTCATACGTTAATTTTGTTGTTTGTGTAAGTAAACGATACATTATGGAAACAGACCTGCAATATTTTAAGGGCTTGTATAAAAGACCTGTAAAGTTTTACAGGCTTATAAAAAAGCAATTTATGAAAGGAAATGTCACATTTGACATACTAATTTAATTTTATATTTGAAAATCGATATCTAGGAGTAAAAATAAAAGTTTGTACGTGTTACGTTTTGCAATTAATTAATAGGCTCACTGGATTCTGGGGTTTGCTCCTGCGTCGCTCACCCCACAAACTTCCAGCTCGCCCGTAAAGATTTATTTATAAAGCTTGACACGTAAATAACTTTTAAAAATAATTTAAGAACAATTTTTATTACAGATTTTTTTTTAAGAAAATCCATTATTTAATAAATAAATTTTGTAAAAACACGGTACTGGGTGATATTTTTTTAAAATAACACCAATTTACCCTAATAAACTTTCTAGCCGAACATCCGTGTTTTTTATATTTTTTTATGTAAAAATTATTAGGTAATTTTAATCTAAAACTTTAAAATAGGTAAGAAAATATACAACTTGACCCATTTGTTTGAGATTCACCCATGTAAAATCTTTATTTATTGTGCAATTTTAACCGGATTTGTAATTGGGGTAGGTACTTAAGCCAGGATTTAAACAATTTATAACTAGAATGTTTTTCTAAAATTTATTGAAAAAAATAATAATAAAAATAAACATTTTTAAACAATTTCAAATATGTCTATTTTAATAAAATGAGGCGTTTACTGCAAAAGCGACCTAACTAAAAAAAAATCATTTTGTGTTTTTATCTTAAAATATTCCTATTATGCGCTTATCAAGTAAACTAGCCTTATAAAGTGTATTTTAGAGTAACTACTCTTCATATTAAAACACACTTTATTAGGCTAGTTCACTCGATAAGCGCATTATAGGAATATTTTAAAATAAAAACACAAACTTTTTATTTATACTATACTGCATAAAGTGTGACCCATTTGTTTGCGACTTACCTACCTCTGTAAAATATTTATTTATTGTGCGATTTTAACCGGATTGGTTTTAAAGTGTAGATCTTGATAAACTGTATTTTTTGAGAAAAAAACACCATATTTTTGCAAAATATGTCAGTTTTTTAGAGTAAATTTTTAAGAATTTATATAAGCGATTAAAAAAACTATGCACGGCACTGGATTCACCACCCCTCAAAACAACCCTATACTAAATTTTATTGAAATTTTTTAAGTAATAACGAATTTGCAGCTCAAAAAAGGGAGATTTATTATTATCATCCTTGTAAAGGAAGGAGTCTGTCATCCAATAAGCCTTTAAAAACTATCTATTTTTGGACTAATACAATTTTTTGTTGTGATGTAATTTTTACACACCCAAAGCGCTACAATAATTTTGGTAAATTTTACTTTCGTACTACAAAATTTAAAAAAATGCGATTTTTTTATGTTGCCACTTTCTTATGAAACTTATTTGTGTGTAACTTAATAAACAATACCATTTGATACATATTTAATACAAATTTTTTTAAGGCATCAAAAAGGCCAAATTTTTGCTTATTTTCTTTTTTACAACAAACAACAAAATAAAATGCAACTTCTTAAAACCAACTTTTTTACTGTTGGCAGTTTTTAGGAAAATAAAACCTAATAAAATGTGGCTTTGAGAATTATATAAATTTCAAAGCCATATTTTATTAGGTAGCACATATAAAATTTAATTTTAATTTTATAATTATCATAGCAAAAACCAAATTTCACTCACAAACAATTAAAAAACTTATATGTTATTATAAACTTATTCATCGTATTAAAATAACCATGTTTTTACTGGATGGTTCAATAAATTTATTTAAAGAAATTAAAAAAATACCAAGTATAATTTAAAAAATTTAAGCTCTATAGCTTATAATTTCGTCATAAAATTAAATTTTGTTTACATAAATTAAATTTCCTTATATCTTTAAATTTTAAGCTTTTAATCAATACATAATTTTTAAGACTAAAATTTGAATGTGAAAAACACAGTGCGCCGTGTTCGTTTCATCTTTCGTAACGCCAAGTTTTAGTTTACCCCGTCCGCAAAGCAGTTACACTTAAAAAAAGTTTTAAAAAGTCCTGTTTTCGTCCCATTCTCGTTTCGTTCCAAGACCTAAAACACCGTCATACCAAATTTATCTAAAATACGTTCAGCCGTTTTTAAAAATACTTTCAAAAATGGCGAATGCACTGGGATTAAAACTAGTACTGTCCCAATTTACCCAATTAAGGATGAAATTTTAAAAAATCCGTTTTTAATGTAAAAAATCCGAAATGGCAGAGCTATGGTAATCTTTTTTGGAAAGAATTAATACAAATTGGCTTACTACATAACTAAAAAAATGTATCGATTCTTTAATTTGAAACAAATATTTTTACAGGTAAACTCTACTCCCTATACTATCATAATATCACAAGTTCAAAAATTTTGTAAAAATAATTTTTAAATGTGTGTATAAAATTGTAGTAATATCGACCAATATTATTTTAGTTTTCGCCCTTAACCCTTATAACTAATTACTTATTAGCAATCACTATAACTCCATATTTTACTATAGTAATACAAAAAATTAGGTACTCTAGAAAGAACAAAAAATACAAAATTTTGCCTAGTTAACTGTATTATTAAATTATAATAAAATGTTATTTATTTTATCTAAAAAAATCCTTAAATTTAAAAAGAATTGTATAGTCGATTTAATTCAATTTACATAGTCAGTAAATACCTACAGCTGTTATTAAAAAAATTTTAGCCATTAAATAAGCTGTATTGGATATTTAAAAAATCATTATATATAAGTACCAACAATTATTTTATTAAGTAAGAATTTGGGTCTTACGCTTTACGCTATTACTTTTTTATGATTTTTTATATCTGTTTTAGATATTTGATGTTTTCAATCAGCTCATAACGACAGGATTCGTTTTAAACACAGGATATTGGTGTTTTTTTAGTACCTTTAAGGGACAATGCTTGTGTGTTTGTGGACGTTATGGTACATATTGCCGCCATATTCGTAATCCCCATCACTGGATTGACATGGAACCAATAGATGCTAAAGAAAATGACTACACGTTTTATCCCAAATATTTTGGAAGCATTTGTCCAACAGTTTGTTATTTAATTTATTATTTTAAATGCTATATTTAATAATTTTTTGTAGGATTATAACGTGGCCATTGAACCGATAAATGAATATCAACCTGGCTACCACATTATCATTAATTTAACCGTGGAATACAAAAAATTAGGACGTGGGAGGCCTCGTCGTACAGATAAGGATAAACCTACTACTTTTGATCCTCGAAACGCAAAGCAAAAATTTGAGACTGCTATTTATGCAAGGTAATATATATACAGCGTTACAATTTTAAAACGAACAGCACTTAGTATTTCTTTAACTGAAAATTTGGCGAAACACGTCAATTTACATATCAAGGAGGACAACTTGGGGTATTTGTTATTGTATTACATTTAACCCCCTGTCCTCCAGAGCACCTACTCCTAAAATTTTAAATAGCAACCCCTATTTATTTAACCATTTTTGAAATCGATAAGTTACATTTCACAAATGTATGGAATGTATTTAGTCCATAAATTAAAATACTGCTAGTTTTAATGGGGTTTCGCCGTAAAAGTAATATTAAAGATACTATAATTACTTCATCAATTGTTCAAAATAGTTTCCATTGTTTTGTAAGCACAAGTGCAGCCGATATTCAAACTGTTCGATGACGTTTTAAAGTGTCTCTGGTAAAATAGCCCTACATTCTTGGACAATCCTTTGTTGGAGTTGTTTAATTGAGTCCGGTTGGGTTTTAAATACAATGGATTTCAAATTACCCCATAGAAAGAAATCAAGCAGTGTCAGATCTGGTGACCAAGGTGGCCATTCAATGGGACCCATCCTATCAATCCATTGCTTCAAATAATAATAAAACTCTCTTACTCCTTGCTCCGTCCTGCTGAAAGTGTAGGAAATGTTCATCAAAAACAAGATTTCCATCGACGTCTCTTTGATTTTCCACCTCTTGAATTATACGAGGCTCAATTCTTCTGTTTAACATTTCCGCATACATTTCACCATTTAAATTTCCATCTATGAACAAAGGACCAATATGCCCGCCAAAACATTTATTTTTTTATGATATTGTGTATCTAATAATGTGAGGATTGAAGTCTGTCCAATAACGGCAGTTTTGTTTGTTCAGCTTGCCATATAAGTAGAAGGTGCACTGAAACAGATATTTTTTTATAAACTGGGGCTGACCAATAATCCTGCCAGTCATAATTTCGCAAAACTCAATACGTCTGTCCGGGTCATCATCCCCTAATTCTTGAGTAATTCGTAGCTTGTATGAGTGAAATTTGTGAAGCTTCAATACTTTCTGAGTGATTCACGCGACAGTCCAGTTTGTTCTACAGCTTGAAGAAGCGACATAGAACTTTAATCTGAGCGATCTCATTGATCAATCCTGGCTCATTCCTCTTGTTATTGCAAACAGATCCAGTTTGCTACTAAATCTTGGATGTACTTTTGTGTACTTCTGGATGTCGATCATTAAATATGACCGCCGAAGCTCCATAAATAAAAATCATTTCAACGCGTTCTTCAATAGTGTAAACCATTTTAAGGAAAAGATACAAAACGCAACCGTTTGAAAACTTGCATTATTTTAATTTATGGATTAAAATTTAATACATTTCATACATTCGTGAGGTAATCAATCATCACTTAAATTTTGGTAAAAATAAATGTAACTTATCTAAACTGCGCACCACTTAATGTGTCGCGACCAAAAAGTTCGTCCTTTTTCAAAACGACATAACTTTTTTGTTTCTTGGACAATTTTATTTTGGTCTGTGATGTCTGCTATCCCTAGCAAAGACCACTTTTTCAAAATGACATTTTGGTGAAAATTTGCGAAAACTAAACCTGAACCGATATTTACGTTCGTGACATGTTTTCTTTATAATTTTGACCTCCTGATTGTGATTCAGTTGTCAAATTTGAGTTTCAGATAAAACCAAAATCATCAAGAATCTTGATTCGTAGTAATTATGAAGAAAGCATTTTATGAAAGTAAATATAGGTTTAGGTTTAATTTTTGCAAACTTTCACAAAAATGTCATTTTCAAAAAGTGGTCTTAACTTAGGCCCTCTGAAAATAATGGAAGTTTGTTGCTTGTCGCTTGTTCAGAATTATTTAAGGAACAATCTTTGACCATCTTATCTTCTTGTTCCTAAAAAGACTGAGTGTATTGCCTAAAAAAAAAGCCTTAAATGTACTCTTTTGGAAAAAAAAATCATATTTTCTTTGCTAAGATTTCAATTCGAAAAATTTAAAAAATGTTTTAAGGTAACACATAATACTTCATTATTTCAAAGTAAAAACGAAAAAAAAAATATTGTTTCACAAACGGGGCTTGGGATAATATCTATAGCATGAATTTCCAGAGGATGGGGTTAGCAGACATCACAGACCAAAATAAAATCGTTCAAGAAACAAAAAAGTTATGTCGTTTTGAAAAAGGACGAACTTTTTGGTCGCGACACATTGAGTGGTGCGCAGTTTGGAATTACATAAGGATTTCAAAAATGGCGAAATAAATAGGTGTTGCTATTTAAAATTTTAGGTGTAGGTGCTTTGGAGGTAATGGGGTTAAATGTAATACAACAACAAATACCTTAACAGTTGTTATATGTAAATTGACGTGTTTCGCCAAATTTATAGTGTCATTAGTTTTTTCAAAGCCAATTTCATGGTAAGTTCAGCTAAGGAAGATGTTTTTTCATGTTCTTCTCGTCGAACGTTGATACGTCTATTGGTCTGTCCCACGTAGCTTCCGTCACAATTCTTACAAGGAATTTCGTAAACCCCTTGTGCCTCCAACTCTATTTTTGGTTTGACGTTTGGAAGTATTTGACCGATCTTTCTTGGGGCGGTAAATGTGGTCTCAATGTTATTTTTTTTGAGAACTTTGCCTATTCTTTCGGTTGTCCCTTTGACGTAGGGAAGAAAAGCGTTCGAAGTTGGTTTCTTGTTCTAGTCCCCTGTGGTATTTAACCGGCGTCGTGGTCTGAGAGCCTTTTTTATGATGATTTTGGAGAATCAGTTTTGCCTAACGACGCGTCGTTTGGATTTTTAGGTCTTCTTGTTTCTTGTGGTCATCATTCCGCCAGCCTTTCGGATCGCGTGACAAGTGTTTTAATAAATTATTGCAGTTGTGACGGGTGGTGTTGAGACTGGGCGTTGAGGTAGCGGTCCGTGTCTGTTGGTTTTCTGTAGAGCGTATGCCCTAGTTCCATTATTTTTCTTGATTATGAGTACATCCAGAAAAGGTAATTGGTATTCTTTCTCGGTTTCCATATATGGGTAATTCTTTTACAAACCGAACACCTTTTGACCGACACTCTGGTTCTATTTGAGCTACAAACTTCTTTTTTTTTTTTAAATCTAAAGAACTGAATTTTGATAAAACAATATTATTAACAAATTCATATTGTTCTTAACAATTTCATTGTTTAAATCAATTTTTAACAATGGCCCCCACCTCGTATTAAGTTTTTTATCGTATTCTCCGTCAAATTTTACATAAAAAACATGCACTCTTAAAAATGGGTTGGTCATGAGAACTAATTTTTAGTGCTCATAACTTATTTGGTCCCAACTGACAAATTAGTTATAAAAAAATTAGTTCTAAAAACTGATTAAAATTTTTGAACTGCATTAGTTGCTTGAAAAGAAAATTTAGTAGCGAGAGCTAACAAAAAATGGTAGCAACTGATTTTTTGTCTTTCACAACTAACGTGCACTAAACGTATTATTTAGTTTCTCTAACTAAGCATTATCCCCAGGTTAGAACTAATTTGTCAGTTGGGACCAAATAAGTTATGAGCACTAAAAATTAGTTCTCATGACCAACCCATTTTTAAGAGTGTGTACCTTTATTATTACTATTGTTAAAACATTAATTCATATTGCGCGACACATAAAAAACGGTTTTTTGTTAATAAAAAGAAAACTATACCTAGCTCGGATAATAAAAGTCAAATATAAACGTTGTAGATAACAAAAACATCTACAACTTTTATTTTAACTATTTTTCTACATAACCTCACTTTTCAAATAAATTGAAAAAAAAATTAAAAATCACCTCTTTTAAATTTATTAGCAATCAATACATACAAAAAAAACATATATTAATTATAAATTATAGAACAATACTTTATCTGATAATTTTTTTATTATGGTTTCAATACTTATTATTATGAAATGTATTTCGTTTGTAAAATTAAAATTGTGTATCATAAAACTAAGATTTATTCAAAATAATACTACATATATTTGTTCACTTAAAGATTTTTACAACAGTTTTTTTTATCATACAGTGAAAATATCTTTCCTTCCAATTCTTGATGAGATATTGGAATCATATATGTATACAGTGGTACTTTAAAGTTCCTTTTATCGTAACAGCTTTTGTAAAACCCTCTGATAATTTAAAGCCAGTACACAACTGATCGGATATTTGAAACCGTGTCGATTTCCTTTCCCCAGCTCGTGACGTCAGTAAGAGGTGAGAATGCGGTCGGGCAGCAAATCAGTCTATCTTGAAGTAACTTCAAAATTTTAAGACTGATTTGCTCCCACCTCTTTCTAACGTCACGAGCTGGAGAGAGGGAATCGACACGGTTTCAAATATCCAACAGGTAACGAACTTTAAAGCAAGGGATCCATAGCTTTATCTGTGATTTTTAACATTTTTGCATTTTATTTGAAAAGTTTGAGATTATGTCGAAAAATAGTTAAAACAAAAATTGTAGATCTATTTATTATCTACAACTTTTATATTTAACTATTTTTTGATCCGAGCTATAATTTTCTTTTTATTAACAAAAAACCGTTTTTTATGTGTCGCGCAATATGAATTAATGTTTTAACAATAGTAATAATAAAGGTACCATATTTTGAAAACATGTTTTTTATGTAAAATTTGACGGAGAATATGATAAAAATACTAAAAACTTAATACGAGGTGGGGGCCATTGTTAAAAATTGATTTAAACAATGAAATTGTTAATAACATTATGAATTTGTTAATAATTTTTATTAAAAATATTTTGTTATCAAATTTCAGTCATTTAGCTTTAAAATGAAAAAAAAAAGATTTTTGTAGCTCAAATAGAACCGGAGTTATAAGTTTTTGAAAATGGGTCTCCAAGCCAAAAAACTTGTTTTTCTCAAATTTTTGATCACTTGTATTATTGAAAATATGCGAAAGAATAAAAATTCCTCGGACACGTGTCTCTTATTTTTCGATATAGAATCCGTAAAAAAAGTTTCA